TTAATAAAAAGTCTATGTTGTTTGTTCTATGATTAAAGTTCTTTATTTATGTTTAGGTAAAATAAAATAAAATAAATTTAAAGGTAATTTAATTATTTGGTGCAAAGTGTTTTATACCTGTCTTTGGCAATGTGGGAACAACCCAAATATTCCTATTTCCTAAAATAAAGGAAGAACTTCAGTTGATGGGTAGATTCAGCGTCTATTATGTAAAAAATGGCTTCTTTGTATTTGTGCTGAGTTTGAAGAAAAAGATTAGAAAACCATGTTTAAATGTGAATTGTGTTCCTAAAATTAGTTGTTCCTAAAGTTAAACCTATACACTTAAGTATATTAACGTTTTTCATAAATAATTTTTTGTGTTTATAAAATTGATTAAGAAATATGGAATTTTTTCGTATGTTCCCACTTTACCCCTTGTATGGGGCAAAGTGGGGTAAACTGTACTTTTTATTACATCATTTTAAACTTACATAAAAAAAAAAAAATCAAATTTTCATAAAAAAAGTATTATCAATTACTATAACCTATAGATTATGTGAACACAATTTGAAAGGAAAAAAAATGATTTTTAAATGAATTACAGGTCTTGATCGATTTTGACGAAAAATTAATAGATCGTCCTTAGAAATATCAGGAAAGTTTAGAGAGTAGTTTGAACCACATACAAAATATACGAAATTATATAATCAATAGACAATAATACTCCACAGGGAGATTGCCAATTGCCACTTCGATCGAATATATTAATTCACAAAGTGAGATAAATACACCTTGGATGCAGATCATTGTTGTACTAATAACTAGTTTTCTGTTGCTTGCTCAAAAAAGCTTAAAAAAAAATATATTTATACTCCAGAAAAAACAACTAAAATATTGTTTACAAAGAAAAAGAAAGTCAATAAATTTAAATACTTAATGTTAATCATTGTCATAGGTATCTAATTTTAAACAAAAGGTGCTCTGCTGTACAGTAGGTTACAAGTGGGTCACTGTACAATGGAAGGTATTAAATTTGAATTCAATAATATAATATCATTGTATAAGAAAAACGATTCTGAGTGGAGACGGTATGTCAGTCTAAGTATAGGAAAGACATATTATATACTTATCTATGGTGTTAAAAAAATTTACCTATAATAGATACCTACCTATAATAAATTCCAAATTAATCGTATCACAATATCCATTAGGCACTTATACACGTTATACATAAAAAACAAACCATGGTACTATCATAGATATATAGTAGTATACTTTAGAAGTTTCAAGTACCCACGAATAATATTATACAATTACAACAAAATAACTAAAATAGTTATTATAGGTTTCTTAATATGTAATTTAGTCCAAATTTGAACTTAAAATGACTGTAAAAATAAACTGCGATTATGTATTTTTTAGATTTTTTGGTAACAGAATTAACTACTTACGTGGAATCTTGTTTTAAATTTTCAATCCTTAGATATAAAAGTTGAACATTTTATAAATTTTCAACTACAAAATAATTATTCAATTTTAAATTTGGTAAATTTTGTCAAAATTCGATCTTTAAATGCTTATAAAAAAAATGTGCCTATGTATTTTTAATATTTTTCAACTGCTATTGTAACAATATAACAGGAGTCTTGTATTAAATTGTTTACTCTTTTTGGCCCAACAGATAAAACTTTATTGATATTTATAAAAATAAAAACTAATAAAATGGAAAACTGTATGTCGTAACAGCTCAAAAAAGTCAAAATATTTTCAAAATTGTATGGTGTATAGGTTATGCTAATATAAACTTTCAGTGAAATTTTCATGTATCTAGAGTTATTCGGTTTTGAATTACAACAAAATAAGGAAATCGCTACATGAGATATCGAGTGAATACCCAATGTTGTAAAAATTTGAATTTCAAATGCTCATAAAAATGTAATTTGACTTTCTTGTAGACATTTTTTTTTTGATAAAGGTAGATAATCTTATAAGGAATCTTGTATTAAATTTTAAAACCTTTGATTTAAAAAAAAAAAAATTTATGAATTCTTAACTCAGAATAATTTGCTAATTTTCGTGATTTTTCCATGTTTTGTTAATTTTTGAACTTTAAATGCTTATAAAAAAAAAACTGTCCCTAAGGATTTTTAATATTTTTCATCTGCCTTTGAAGCAGTATTCTAGGAGCCTTCTATTAAATTTTCAAGCTTTTTTAACCTACAAATGCAATTTTATTGATATTTTTAGAAAAAAAACTAAAAAAAAAATGGAAAATAAAAATGTCCTTAAACAGTTCAAAATACATTAAAATATTTTGAAAATGTTATCGTTTATAGAAAATACAAATATAAACAACCATTGAAAATTTCATGTATCTATACATGAATCTATTTCATGTACGGTCATTTGTTTTAAAGTTACACAAAAAACCAAATTTTGCGTAATAATTCCCGTTATTCCTTAATTTTTCTTTCGTTTTTTGAAAATTATTTTTATTTTAAATTTTGACTTCCCTAATGCACCAACGATATTCACTTTCCAATCGAACAAGATACTGAAGTTGAAAATCGAAGCATTATTTTGACTACTCATCACGTACACAGACACAAATAAAATAAAAAAACACACATTATTCTAAAATCAATTCATTCATCGTTCCACTCAGAAACTAAAATATGGCCCAACACGGAAAAAGCCACATAAAAGAAACAAAATATTTAAATTTGTAGCCAATCAAATTATTTATAGTAAGCACTATTCTGTTTGATGACAATTAGTTTTAGGTATATAATTATATTTATCTGAAAGCAATAGGTACTCTTATTTGGTTAAAACTATTTTCACACATTAAAAAACTTTAATGCTCAATATAATTCAATTATTAAGGTTATTTTTCTATTGGCACGGACCACGCCAGTTGGGAAAGCTAGTTGATCCATGATACTTCAATCATTTTCTATTTATTATTATCTGATAATAGAGTATGTTAAAAAAAGTTAACTTCGTAAAAAAAAAATCAGAAAAATCCTTTATAAAAATACTATACGTATAAGTGTATGATTACCTATATATGACAAAAACTATTAAAATTTGTAAACGTAATTATAACCGAAAGCGATATTCAAAAATAATTAAATTCCGGAAAACAAAATATAACGATTAACAAATTATATTATATACCATTAAATAAACTCAAAAATTGTGTAACGTTTTAATTGTAAATAACATAAAACTTTGAAAATTTTTTTCAAATGCAAGCCCTGATTATAAGAAAATACTATACAGTGCCCCACTGTGCATTTATTGTACTTGTGTTTAATTGGCTGGTCGGTGGGTGGGTACGATAGCTATCGGGGTGTAGGTGGGAGAGAGTGCAGTTCCACCAATAGGATTGTCGTTCGTCCTATGCTCCCTTGATGGTAACTAACCGCTTGACCACCGTATCAGTCTACCTTTGACTGTAGTTCAGTCGCGACACGGCTACCTCCAGACAGAAGTCCAGAAGATCTCATACAAAGGCACACAAAGAACGTCTCTCCATCATGGTTTATTAACGCATCGACATCCGGGAGTCGATACATTTTCTCAATCACTGGATTAGGAATTTCATTATTCAACGTTACAATCAATCAAAACTCAATTGCAAGATATCTGGCAAAGGATCTGTTAATTATTCACAAGTTTTCGGTGAGTACCATAATATATTTATTTACAAACAGATAAGTAGGTACTTATTTATAAATTATAACACAACACTAATCGCTCGTTGGGTTAGTATAACTACATAATATTATAGGTACATACAGTAGTCCCTCGATAATTCGAAAAACGTCATTAATTGAACTAAACGCTGAGTTCCCTGGGAAAACCTCGATAATTAGAAGAAAATGCATGTATTCCGGTCCCCTCGATAATTCGAAATGTCTGTCAGTGGGACACACTCTAAAGTCGGGGCACTCTAAGAGCGCTACTCCTTCGCGCATCCAACTGATTTCGCTCCGAGGGAGAACACTATCACCTAGTTGCGACCGTAAATACTCGGTAATGCGCAAGAACGGACGAATTTTGGTCCCCGCCCAGAAGCGCTCTTATGACGGCCCGAGTATACAATTAAATTTTTTTTTATATTTTCTCTATAATTCGAATTTCCTTATATATGTAAGTTTATATTATGTATGTACATTGTACATATAAATATTATGAACAATCTATTTGACGTACCTACTCGTAATGAAACTAATAACGATGGTGGTTAAATATTACCGTAGTTTATAAATGTTATCGTACCTTACCTACCTAATCTAAACTTTAATATGTATGCATAATAAATAAATGTCAAAATAAATGTAATATACACACAATATTTCACCTCTCTTTAATTCGAATTAATTTGTTTTCCCTCGATCATTCGAACACTCGGTAAATCGAATACCTCTATATATCGAATTTTTAACTCGGTCCCCTGAATTTCGAATTATAGAGTGACTAATGTACCTAACTAAAATATTTCGATTGTACCTATCCTTCTCCGTATTACGTTTATTTATTCACGAGTGAGTTTATTGTATTATACCTATTGTAGGATATTTGATAGGATAAGCGTGAGCTAACGGAATGATTAATCCTTGTGTATAGCTAACATGTACGGTCATGTAGTTTTATTTAAGAATTGTTGGTTAGTCCTTTTTCTAGCTTCGGGGGGGGGGGGGGGGTCGGGTATCTATAGGTCATCTTACCCCTTATTGTTAATATCTACATATATTACAGCTGCTCGTGTCTTTTGCATAAAAATCATCGGACATTCACTATATTATATAGTATAATATATGGACAAAATTGATTTATAATTACATTTTAACAAATTATAACTGATGATGTTTTGCTGATAAATTTATTAGGAGTAATTGAATAAATATATTTTAATGCAACCAACATTACAACTCTAAATTTGTTAAATGAATATATTTACTGTTGTAGTTAATAATAAAATATTTTGTAATATGATTACAGTTAGCAGAATGGGTATTATACTGAATTTGATACGGCTATTCGTTTGTACGGTGGCAATCGTACCCTTATGCTGTAGTGGATTATTAAAAGATCCTTGTTTGTCTAAAGATCGTCAAATTCTGGATTTGTGTGAACAAGGTATAAAATATAATAACTTAAGGTTTAGTTTTGATATTTTCAAAACAAATTTGTTGTAATAATTAAATGGTGTGTACCAACCTATATTTTATAGCATTGGAGATAAACTCAACAAACTGGTACAAAAATATCAGGATTCCTGCAGTAAACGAAGAAATTGTAGATGTTATCGATGAACATGATAGAAGGTATCGTTCGGAGGATTTACTATCGGAGATCACTCGTTTTGCTGACGGAAGCACAAATCATGGACAGCTGATTGATTCTCAGGCAACCAACGTCGGTATTTCAAGTTCTCGAAATGCTGAAGTTATTGTTGATGTTACACGCAATCTAAAGAATACCTATTGTAAAAAGTAAAGTATAATATAAATATTTCAACTAAAAAAATTATTTTATTATAATAATATGCATATATGAAATCATAATTTCAGATATGGGTTAAGTGATATACAATGTGTCAAAGACTTATCGAAGGTGAAAATAACAAGGACAAGTTTGAATGACTTGTGTTTGTCCGAGTATTACAACGAAACTATGTGCATCTGGAAAAACTTAGATTATCCTAGTACTGACGGTTCTTGTAACAACTTGAAACGTTCCTCATTGGGAAAGGCAACCATGCCATATAAACGATTGCTGTCTCCAGTCTACACTGATGGTAACATTTCTTAATTATTTATCGATATACTTTTTTTATAATAAAAACATTAAAATAGGACTCCTTCTTTTATTTAATGTATATTTTTTTTTATATACGACAGTATTGTTATTTAAAATCTTGTGTATCTAATGCTGTCATTTCATTAATCGTTCATGCAGGTATTTACAATATGTCAGAAGAACTGCCCAATCCTAGATCATTGAGCATACACCTTTTCAACGATGAGGACTCTATTGACCAAGCAAAAACGATGATGATGGCTTACTGGGCGATTTTCATAGGCCATGATCTATCGCAGACGGTAGCTTCTACCATGGGTAAACACATTCAACTCATAATCGTTTATATATATATAATATATATTGATTGATCGTAACTAATGCAAGCTTACATATATTAAATTCATATAGGGAATAAAAACGTACCTGTGAAATGTTGTTTTAATGAAAGCAGTATTGAATTTATTCTGAAAAAAACCGTAAGGTTCTGTAAGCCCATATCGATACCAGAAGACGATAAAGTTTTTTCACAGGAAACGTGCATGAACTACGTGCGTTCGCAGTCCGCGATGCGTCCCGATTGTTCATTTGGACCCAGGGAACAAGTAACAGCCATATTTGATAATATCATATCTAAAAACTTAAATTTGATTTTTTTTATAAGAATCAAAATTAGCTAGTAATTACACTCAATTAGGCCATTTTAGGGGAATGTAATGAATAGGATAGGCCAAGACCCTATTAAAACAGAAAAACGCGTATGTTAAATGAATAATTTGCACAATTTGTCCATTTGGTTGATATATAATGCTTTTTTTATAATAATAATTAAACAAAAGTTAATTTGTATGAACGTTACTCGATATTTTCCACTTCAAAGAAAATGTATGAATAATAAATATGTATTAATAAGTAACCATTATTTATGTATTTACCTAATGTGCATTAGCCATTAGGTATTTTTTACATTTTTTCTTTTCTATGGTGATAAGAAAAGCGTTACGCCAAATTGGTTATAAAATAAAAATATTTGTACCCAGCTCAAAATGATATTTATGTTAAAAAGGGGTTAAGTTACAAAAAACAGTGGTCGTGGAGTGCTGTAAATATTTCCAGTATTTCGGTGTTTAGAATTAACGCTGCAAAATCGCAAAAACTCCAGAAATTAACAGAATATTTAAAAATTCTTAGTCACTATTGAACACGTGTTTATATATATTTCACAGATGAACCAAGCTACCCATTATTTAGATGCGTCGATGATGTACGGTTCGTCAGAAGAACAGATGTTGTCGTTGAGGAAAATGAACGGCGGAGAACTGTCGTCTTACAAAATGAATATCACCAACATGACTTATATGCCGCTGGAAACCACCGAAACAAAAGCGTGCCAGCACGGAAACGGCACGTGCTTCAGGGCTGGAGACATCCGGGCAAACTCACTTCCCCAACTGACTCTCCTTCACACACTGTGGGTGAGGGAACACAACCGGATAGCCCGAGAGCTAAGTAAATTCAACCCACATTGGACCGACGAACAGCTTTTCCTTGAGTCCAAGAAAGTCGTGACGGCATTCATACAACACATCACTTACAACGAGTGGTTGCCGGCGCTTCTTGGCGTAAACTACACCAAGGAAAATGGTCTGGGACTGTTAGAGGAGGGGTACAACACCTACGACGATACCGCCGACCCAACTGTCAGCAACAGCTTCGCGACCGCAATACTGCCGTTCGCCAATTCGATGATCAGCGAAAATATTAGGTTTGGCTTATGTTTATAATATAACTGTTATCATTATTATTATGTTATATGTGGGTAGTTAATTTCGTGGTGACAGTTTTTATAATAGTTTTATAGGTATTTAAAAACGTTTCTCTGGAAAATTTAAGACTCGTATGAACAACAATACAACAAATATTGTCACATTATTACACTTCCGGTTAATCCGTCATTAGGTTTTGATTTTCCAACGGTGACCTTTACATTATAATTATTATCTTAAATTTCTAATGTAGGTACCTATATTGGATTCAATGTGTATTGAACGAATCGTTTGTGACATTTAGGAAGGGGCCAATAATCATTTATTTTAATGGTAAATACAAATTTACAAATCTAGGGGAGTATAATCTAATCTATATACATCAGTATGGGTGTAACAATGTTCTGCGTAAGAATTTAGGATAATACATAAACAAATAATAATATTAAAATGTGGAAAATGTAAAAAAATAAATCTTTATTTAAATATATCTAATATGTTACTTAAATATTTTTTGCATGTTTTTGTTAAGTTTATACTCAGAAGACCGCGTTATCAACGGAAGCCTTTCACTAAAAGAACATTACAACCGACCAGTTGATATATTGACGAACTACACGGATGAACTTGTTAGAGGACTTATTACTCAGAATACACAAAACATCGATATGCTGTTTACAAAAACGGTGGGTTTGTAAAACACAATCAAAATGTTGAATTTATTTTTTAACATAATCAATGATGATGTGTCGTATTTCATAATATATGTTAATATTGTATATTAATAACATCTGTTTTTGAATTTTTTTTTAGCTTACAAATTATTTATATAGTTTTGGTCCAAATTATTTGTTTGGCATGGACATTGTCAGTTTGGATATACAACGAAGCCGCGATCACGGTATTCCAAGCTACACGCAATTTAGAAAATATTGTGGACTAAATGACATAAAAACTGTGGAAGATTTGTCTGAGATCATGGTGGAAGGTGTAAGTTTGAAAAAAAAAACATGAAATTGTTAAATAGTAATAATTTAGCTACTGTACTGATTACTTTTTTTCTGCATGTTGTATTTAGGCAGCTGATAGATTACTGAAACAATACCAAAATTGGAACGATATAGATCTTATGGTGGGTGCATTGTCTGAGAAACATGCCGATGACGCAATGGTTGGCCCTACGATGAGGTGTATGATCAGGGAACAATTCGTAAGAACTAGAAGTGCAGATAGATATTTTTATGACGCACCAGGAGTGTTCAGCAAATGTTAGTATAACTGAAATATTTTAAATGATTGAACATAATATTAACCTATTTTAATTTTAGATCAACTGGAAGAAATCAGAAAATTCACTCTTGCCAGATTTATTTGTCTTAACGCCAATAATGTTACAACAGTTCAGAAACAAGTATTTTTGAAACCGGCTTCAACTGATGAATTAAAACTTTGTAATGAGGATGAAGATATTCCGAGCATCCACGTTAGTCGTTGGGCAGAATTGGCGCAAACAATTTCAGAATAATTTCGTACAATACATTCATAAATTTATTTAAAATTTATTAATGTTAAAAAATCAAAAAAAAAAATCAATTTTTAATAACTATATTTTTTAAATTTAATAATTGCTTAAGAATTAGTCGAATCTTTTCGCACAGTATATGCCATGCTTTTTAATAAATATATTTAATATCAATTATAAGTTTATAATATCTACTACTTTATAAATTATATTCTTATTTTTTTTTTTAATACATTATATATTATGGTAATAAACTTATAGTACATATGATTATCAACACATTTATTTTAGCATCAATATTTCAAGATATTATACAAATGTTTAAATGTTTTTTAATAAAAATTTCTATATGTTGAAAAAATAGTAATATTATTTTCTAATAATTAATAGTTTTTTATGAATTAACCATTAATTGAATATTTTCGCATAATATTTGTAACGCTTTTTAATAAATAATTTTTACATTCATATTATAAGTTTATATACCTATTATATTTTTACTTTTTTTAAATAAAATATTTTATTTACAATAAATATGATTATTACATTTATTTAAGATTTCAACACTATTTTAAGTTTGATATTTATATGAAAACGAAAAAGAATTCTAGTTTTGTTAATTAATATTCCTAAATATTAAAGAACAAAAATATTCTACTGGGTAGATACTTAATTTAAGTAGTTTTCAATATTTAGTGTTTACTGTTTAATACATGAGGATTGAATATTTTCATATTATTTCACATAGTGCACATTTATCAATATACATATTTATAAAAACATAAGATATTCATTAAAATGTTACGCAATACATTTCCATTCCAATTGATAAGATCTTTGATCAAGACATTTCGATGTTTGTTAGTTTGGACAAATGTATAGGTACCATTAAACATTTAAAAACACATTTGAAGTTAGAATATTAGCAAAATAAATACTGTGAAATACTTTTTTTTATAATCCGTTTCTTAAGATGTAAATTAATAAAGATAGGAATTAATATTTTTAAAGTTTTATTGAGAAGTGAAACGTATTTTTGCTATATAGGTAACTTCTTTAGATTAATTTTGAGATACATTCATACAATATGTTGACTATCTGTCAACTTAAAAAAAATTTAATTGTTAAGTTGTAACTTGCAAGACTATTACCACGGTGATGACTTCACGTCCTCTCCACTGCTGCGGTGTTCTTATTTATAAAAAAACCTACGCGATTAGTGTATTATATCGAGAGTAGTGAGAAATTCTTTTATAATATACAAAAAAAAATAGTATATAATAGTATCAAAAAAAAAAAAATGGGTAGGTGTTCGTAATACTTGGGTTAACTACATGTGTTATTCAAACTCCTGGATGTGACACGGATGTTTTAATAATATTTAAGTAAATATTAGTTAAATACAAATAATTAAATACATGACCTATTATTTGTATAGCATTAAAGCTTAAAAGAGTTATTTTTAGTGAATAGTATAAGGTATTAGTAAAGTAAGTTTGGTACTTATATTTTTTTAGAAGTTTCGTATTGATTATTAATTAATAATAATTTGTTTTTTTAAATGATCGTAAAATGTGAAGTGGACGATTGTATAATATTATTAATATTATATAAAACTGATTTTTCTTTTTTTCGTATTATTATTTGTGTGTGCGCCCGTGGCCGACGCGCATACATGGCACGGGCCGGTACTGGACTATGGGTGCTTAGGAATAGATGTAAACTGGGTAAACTAAAATAGGTTGGCTAAAAATGTTAGTAATCTATGTTATGATAAATTAACAACTCTTATACTTATAAAAAATTAAAATATATTACATGTAATACCTATACATATATTTCAGGGGCGCCATTTCAGTTTTTTTTTAAGGTGTGCAAACAATTAAAGAGGCCAATTTTTTCCCACCTCCAGGCCAATCGTTAAAAAAACGTTTCTAGTGTTTTCAGTTTTTCATTACAGAATTTTTAGTATCAAAAACATACTTAATAAAAACATATTTTTATAGATAACACATACATTAATAAACTAAATATAAAATATTCAAATAGGATATCAAACAAAATACAAATTAATTATTCAAAGCTGAGTTTATGACTTAAGCGTAAAGTAAAGCAAAGCGTGCAATGCAATAGAAATAATAAACAACTTGAAATATAATAGTTTATTATTATAACGACTTTTATACTTTAATAGTTTACATTAATAATATAATTAATATAAAATAATAACATAGGTAATAATAATTATAAAGGCATAACACGCATAGATTGTTATTTAAGCGGGTATCTCCGTTGCTTCATATTTGAAAATGCATCTACAGCTTTATATAAATCTACGCACTTAGCTTCTTCTTTCTCTAAATTTAAAACCATGAGATCACTCAGTCTGTTATCTCCCATTGTAGTACGTAAGAAAGTTTTAACATTTTTAAGGGATGAAAAGAATCGTTCATTTGAAGCAGTAGTAGGTAATTGGAAGAATCTTTAGTATAGAAATTATTTTTAAAGTTTCAGAAAAGGCTGCTGGAAGTTGTGATAAAGACGATACAATAGAATCAAAATTTATTTGAATAATTGTATTGCTTTGAAGCAATGATTTGGCAGATGGAAATTCTGTTAACATTTTGGATATATTTATTTCAAAATAATTATAGTGGTTTATAAATGAATGAAGATAGGAACACTTTGGATTGAAAAAATCAGGATTTTAGTAAAGATATTTCTAGATAGAATAGATGCGTATTATTATGTCTGTTGTTTATCAGTAACCATTTACCAATTACACATATTTGTGTGTGCCAGTGGATAAATTGATACCGATATCAATTTATCAATTATCAAATTGAAGAACACAATAATATTATAAAATAATTTATGATTATCAGTGAATAGCTGCGGTGCATGCTCAATTAAAGATAAGCAAACTGAAGGCCATAGTATTAATGAGGCCTAGGCCAATTGTGAACACTAAAATTACAGGGTGTGCGAGTGCACCTAAGCTATTTGTATGTGATATTAAGTATGAAATAATGTTTAAATAGTTAATTCAAAGAATTATATTTACTTATAACTTAAACTTAATTTTTTAAGTTAAACTTAAACTTAATCTTAAACTTAATTTTAATTTTTAACTCGTTAATGCCCAGCCTTGGCTGTTCCAACTTTCAACGCTATAAGATATTTGAAATTTAGAACAAATACAACACCAATAATTTATTTTTTCACAATTTTAAAATGGCTACTCAATAAAATAACCTCGTTAGACGAGAATTAATATTTTATTTTAACTATAATGCAGTGCGCTTGTTAGTGTGCATCATTTAATCACAGGTATTTTGAAATATTTTATAGTATACACTTACATTTATGATACTGCACATATTTTAAATATTAATAATAAATAATAATAATACTTTATAAAAATGACTACTTTCGTTTGTTCGTGATTTATATGGATTCCTCTACCACTGAGCTGTTCTGATGATTTTTATATTTAATAATCGTTAAAGATACCTACAAAGGTGAGTAACATATATTATTATATGCTACTTTTTATCCCGAAATTCAACCCGTCTAACATATCAAAAATCAATTTTTTTTTTGTGGTCATTTTAATACCTATAATAGGTATATGGTAGTATTTGGATATACAAATTAAAATATAACATATATGGTTTTTCACGGAAAATTGAAACAAACATAGTTGCTATGGATGAACTAATTATTGAGAATAAGCATTTCCAGTTTAATACAAATGAGTTATTTTATATGCAATTCAAAATATTTTGTGGTATTCATAGACGTTATTTTAAATTTTTTAAGGTTACTTACAGCAATAAATAATAATCAAAATAATTAATTATTATAAATATTGGGGGGGGGGGGATAGTGCAGTTCCACCAATAGGATTGTCGTCCGTCCGATGCTCCCGTGATGATAACTATCCCCTTGACCACCGATGTCAGTCCATTGACATAATATAGATGGACTGCGCGTTTAGCCCTTATCATGTCAGCAATAATAAACTGCAGGAATGTTTATCTCAACACCTTTCCTCCATGATACGGAAATACGGAATCAATAGTTACCACGAGAGTTGCCGCGTTTTTATCTTTTATATTTTTCGATTTTTTGGTTACAGTTATAACATAGACATAATATATCTATATTAATTATTAGGTATGTCCAGTTTAATACAAATGAGTTATTTTATATGCAATTCAAAATATTTTGTGGTATTCATAGACGTTATTTTAAATTTTTTAAGGTTACTCACAGCAATAAAAAAAAAATCAAAATAATTAATTAAATATTTTAAATCTTAGATAATATGAATTTCTAACTATAAAATGATTTGCAAATTTCTGTGATAGACCATAAAATAATAGAACACGAAAGAATGAAAAGGTAAAAATTAAGACAGTAAAAAAGAAAAAAGAAACAGAAAAATCTATAGTAATTATATATTAATATTATACTATGATGAACAAAAATGCATTTGTATGTCTATTTGTTACTATGATTGGCGGGTGGGTAGAACAGTTATCAGGCTGTAAGGGGGGGGGGTGATAGTGCAGTTCCACCAATATTTTTGTCGTTCGTCCGATGCTCCCGTGATGATAACTATCCCGTTGACCACCGATGTCAGTCTACCAGCGACTGTACTTCAGCGCGACACCGCTAACACCAGACACTAGTCCGAAATATCAAATTAAAAGGTACGCAGAGCGAGTGGTTAAATTATCTCAATCATTGGATAAGGAACTTTGGCTCATAACAATACAATAAACACTGGTTCAATCGCATTATAGATGTCAAAAGGATAAGAATCTGTTAATTATTCAAAATAAACAATTTTAGTAAGTACCTACCTAAAGATTATTTACTAAAAAAATAACTGAAATTATTAGGTTCTTACACATAAGTTATAACGACACTTTTTGACCGTCAGGTTAAAAGATTTGCATATTATCGTTTCAATTTTATTCATCTCCGTAATATGT